GTCTTAGGAGCAGGTCGAAACAATGAGGGCCTGAAAATGGCCCTCCGTTTCAGGCTGAAAACTCTGGGTCTGAAAAGACCCAGAAATAGGCTGAAACGAGGWARGGCCTGCAGGCCCTCGTTTTTCAGCATCCAGGCTGAAATGAACGGGGCCTGTAAGCCCTAAGTTTTAGGCTTTTAGGCTGAATGTCCGGGACGGGCCCTGTAGGGCCCGTGTGGCTTCGCAGTATGCCACACCCCCCCCTCCTTGAAGAACCGAGCTTACCTGCGAGGGCGAAGCTGTCTGTCTGAGGGAGGGACCATAGTCCGGGTGGGAGGGGCTGGTCGTGAAGCTTCCTCAGCTAACTTGCGCTTTTCATAATGCGCGTAGATCAGCGGTGCGGATGCTTTCAAATCTGCGCCTGATATCCACCGAGTGTCATCGCGATCGCATGCTTTGAATGTGACTTTGTACTGCGGTGGCTTGCTGCCGTACTTGCGATCGGAGATGACGCGGTCAACTTCCTGATGGCCATCCATAGAAGGAGGGTCCTGCGATCGTCGGTCCGGAAAGTCGTCGCTCTTGGCTGGCGTGTAAGTTGCCAGCTTCGAGGCGTGGAAGACCGGATGGTCCGTCAGATGCTTTGGAATGTTGATCACAAATGAAGAGCCATCGGGCTCATCGCCCGCGGCTGCTGTCACAGACCAAGGTCCAAACCACTTGGGAAGCAGTTTGCGTGAAACATCCTGTTCCAGTGCAAACTYTTCCGCGGAGACCCAAACCAGATCATCGGCACGAATGGGACATGGTACGCGACGCCTGTTGGCTTGCTGCTRCATGCGGACTTGAGCCTTTTGCATATTTGTGCGGGCTTGAGTCAGCAATTCCCTGTACTTCCGGACGGAAGAGGGAGAGCAGGCAACGTCAATGTCGGCTGGTCGAGGGAGGAGAAGGTCGGCGAAGATCCGGTCTTTCCGTCCACCGTGGCGCAACTCGAATGGAGTCACGTCGATCGCCGGATGCACCGAAGTGTTGTAGGCGAACTCGATGTCGGGGAGGCGGTCAACCCAATCTTTCTGGTCCGGACGGATGAGCGTACGAAGCATCATTTGAGCRGTYTGATGTGCCSGCTCCGTCTGCCCGTCTGTCTGAGGGTGTYGAGCCGAACTTGGTTTCATTGTTGTGCCGGACTCCTGCATGAGAGCAGTCCAAAACGCCGACATGAAACGAGTGTCGCGGTCGCTGACAATGTCTTCNAGAGCAGTCCAAAACGCCGACATGAAACGAGTGTCGCGGTCGCTGACAATGTCTTCTGGTACACCGTGGCCACAAATCCAACCAGTGTGCAGGAGGCGTGCCAGCTCGKGAGCCGTGGAGTAGTACTTGCAAGGGAGAAAACACGCGTACTTACTCAATCGGTCCACAACCGTGAGGATGCCGTCGTGCCCGAGCCGGTCGCGAGGAAACGGAGCGGTGACGTCCATGGCAATGGAGAGACCGGGTTCCTGTGGGATAGGCATCGGGTGTAACTCGCCGTAGGGATTGCGGTTGCGGGGTTTGCAGCGTCGGCAAACTTTGCAAGAGTCGCAATACCGAGTGACATCGGTAATGAGGTCGGGCCATCGGAATCGCTGTCGAAGTCGTGCAATAGTGCGGTTGACTCCGAAATGGCCGGCGAGTCGTGAATCATGGTATTTGTCGAGGAGGCGAGTCTGAAGACGAGTGTCGCGTGGGACACATAGTAAGTCCTTGCCTCTCGAGTGGARGAGCAAGTACCCGTCGGCAATGCGGTAATGGCTGGCCGGCGGGTGATCCGAAGATAGCTGTGCATAGAGCGTGCCGAAGTCCGGATCAGACTGATATGCCCGGATGAAGTGTCGCTGAAGCTCCTCGTCGAATGCGAAGGCATGATGTGTCATAGCGCAAAGATCAGGTCTTCGCGAGAGTGAATCTGCTGCGTGATTGGAGAGGCTGGGGACATGCTTTGGTGTGAAGTCAAATTGGTCGATGAAGTACATCCATCGTCCGATCGTGCTGCTCACCGTGTCCTGCGTCTTGTAGTAGGTCAATGGATTGTTGTCTGTGATCCATGTGAACCTACGACACCCAAGGAGGAAGTGCCGCCAGTGTTTGAGAGCCATCACGAATGTGAGCAGCTCCTTCTTCCTTGCATCATCAAGCGAGCTGATGGGAGGCACTTTGTGGCTGAAATACTCCACAGGGTGCCAGTCGTCGCCGTCGTGCTGTTCCAAGACTGCCCCAATGCCATACCCGGAAGGGTCCGTAGTCACTCGTGTCGGCAGGGTGGGGTCATAAATGCTAAGGACGGGTGCCATGAGCATAGTCGTCTTAAGTGCTTGGAATGACCGGCGTGCGTCGTCATCGAATACGAATGGTAGCTTTGGCAACTGTAACCTCGTCATAGGTGCAACAATCTTGGAGTATCCGGTGGTGAATCGCTGATAGTAGCCCGCCAACCCCATGAATGAACGAACGTCCGTGGTGTTGGTGGGCTCGGGCCATACTCGTAGAGCCTCGATCTTGTCCGCAAGCGRACGGATGCCTTGCGGCGTCACATAGTGTTCCAAGTACTCCAGCTCTTGCTGTGCGAACTCGCACTTGTTGCGGTTTGCTTTGTACTTGGCCTGTCGTAGCCGCTTTAAAACGGTGCGCAGGTGTTCCACATGCTCGTCCAGACTCCGACTGTAAACCAGAATGTCGTCGAGGTATATAAGTACGAAACGATCCAGCATGTGTTGGAACTCCGTCGTCATAGCCGCTTGGAAAGTGGCTGGGGCATTCGTAAGGCCAAATGGCATGACCAGCGATTCGAAATGCCCATACCGAGTCTTGAATGTTGTCTTGTAGCGATCCTCCTTGCGAATCTCGAGTTGGTGGTACCCTGACTTGAGATCCAACTTAGAGAAGAACTGGGCGCCGCCCAATCGCTCGAGAAGGTTGTCGATGCGTGGGAGAGGGCCGGCGTTCCTGATCGTCTGCGCGTTAAGCTTGCGATAATAGATGCACAACCGCAAATCCTTGTTCTTCTTCCGGACGAAGAGAATAGGCGCACCGTATGGCGATGAGCTAGGCGGAATCCAGCCTTTCACTAGAAGGTCGTCGAGTTGTGCCCGAAGCACACTTAACTCTTCCTCGCTCATTCGGTAGATGCAACCGCGCGGAGGTACGGCCTCGTCCTCGAGGATGATCTCGTGGTGGATGGGTCGATCCGGTACTAATCCATGCGGGCCTTCGAACACGTCGCTGTAGGCGTCGAGAAGTTTGGTGATGCGTGGATCCGAAGGTGAGTCCGTCGATGAAGCGTCATGTGGCGGGAGGGCGTGGAGAAAACACACCCCCATCTCCTCGATGTCGTCTTTGATGATGGAAGCTCGCATGCTTGCGGCGGATACCACGTGGCAGCTGATCGAAGGATGAGGAAGAGGCACCGTGCATGAAACTAATGTGAACGGTGCGGTTGAAGAAGGTCACCGGGTGATCCTTGCTTCGCAGCCATGACATGCCCAAGATCATGTCGAATTTGGTATCCAGAATGTCAAAGGACACCGCCTCACTTGCGTGAGGGGCAAAGTACACTGGGACGGCGTCAATGCACCGGTCGATGGACTTGTGCGTATGACCGTCTGCCAAGGTGACTTGCGTAGGCTGGGACTTCCTCCGGACACGTGGGCCAAGGTCGGCGCGTACCATGAAGTCCTGGCTGATGAAGTTGCGAGATGCTCCGCAATCGATCAAGGCATTGCAGGTCGCCTCTCCGATCTGAATGCGTATGTATAGCAATGGTGCGTCAATGTCGTCGTACCGTTGCGTCTTGAACTCGCGGTCGATCTTCGCGATGAAAACGTGAAGGTCGACAACCTCTGCTCCGGCGTCCATCAACGGAGCTGGTACTGCAGTGTGCAAGTAGTCCGGCAATTGTGCCATAAACGCGTTGCAATGCGGTTTCGGCAATCGTCCGGTCGAGGGAACGGGCATCCACTGGAAGTCCGTGAACGTCAATGGGTCGAGATCTTCAAGTGTTGACCATGACGTCGAATCCTCGGCGATAGGTTGCGTCTAAGTTGCCGAATCGGTTGCCGATAGTGATGAAACCGTGCATGCGGTGGATTGTTGCACGTGGAGCGGTTGGTCCAGCGGTGGAACCAAGTGGACAGCATAATCCTCGTAAGTATACCGAGGACTTGCGACATTCGTATCCTCCTTTGATGTGCAGGAGGCCGCTAGCAAGTTGGCCAAATCTGGCGGAGTAGAAGGTGGAGTCGCCTCACCTTTCGCGGAGCTCAGTTTCCCGAGCTGAGGGGAGGTCGCACATCCTCGTTGCCCTGATCTTGGCACAGGGAGGTCTTGTGCTTGGTGCTGTTGCACCAGTTGCAGCTGTCGTAGCGGCCGCGGAACTTGTACTCCGCCTAGGTCAAGCCAAACTTGACCCATGGAAATTGTCCTGGCTGTCCATTTTCGGCCTACGATGCGGATTTTGCCTTCCCATTGTTGCGGGACTTGTTGGTGCTTCGCGGGTGGACAGCGGCCACCTGATTTCCGTCACTTGATACTGGAGTGGCTGCTGGGTTATCTCCACTGTCCTGCTGGACTGCAGCGAAGTGCTGCTGTCGCGGACCAGTTCGTACCTTCTCCACATAGGTCGGCTGCCATGATGTTGATTTTTCGTGTGCAGCTGACCTGTTGGTCTTGATGAATTCCCTCGCTTTGTCAATGATCTCCGCGATAGTTGAGTACTGTTCGCGATCACCAAGAGCCTGGCTCAATGCCGCACATGACCTGTTGTACAACTCACGGCGTAGATGCTCGAATGGTTGGTTCAGATTGGGCACAACCGCAATCTTCTGCCACTCCGTGAGCCAGTTCCGTGTGGCTGTGTTGCCCTGTGACATGGTGAACAAACGGTTGATGGCGAGAGCCGGCGTGTCCTCGACGATGAACCGCTTCTTCCACAGCCGTGTTAGTTCCTCCCATGTGATAACGTCCTTCAAGCCTGGTACGTCGACGCCGTGGGAGGTTGCCAGGTGACTCAACCAGGTCTGGCATCCGCCCTTTGAGTTCAGGAACAGGGTGCCGATGTACGCATGCTTGGCTACTGGCAGAATCCTGAGTTGCGTTGTGAATGCTTCCCACCAGAGGACGGGATCCTGCTGCGTGTAGTCGTCGAACCTCTCCAGGTTGAAAGTTGGCATCTTGTACATCTTCGGATTGTCGTCCGCGTTCGTCGACTGCAACTTYTGGACCTCRGTCTTCAATGTATGCAGCTGACTGCTGATGGTGGTGGTCGGCGCAGCGAAGGTGCTGATGTYGCYGAGSATTGCCACTACGTGGTCAACGCGGTCCTCCAGTTGGCGGCTTGAGGGTGCACTGCTGGAAGCTCCAGCAGCTGGTCCTGGTACAGCCTGTTCCAGGTCCAACAATCGGGCATTGAGTGCCCGAGTTGCATCCTCGTGGCTCTGCACTGTGCGGCGGAGCGTTGCCAATTCCTGATGCTGTTGCGTCAGGTCCCGGTGCTGTCTCTCCAACTCTGACCTTTGGTAGTTGCAAGCATACAACAACCGCGTCACGAGTTTGGAGAGGAACTCCTTGTGCTTTTCTTCCGGTGTTGCGTCGTCGCCGTTCGGTTGAAAATGCCAGTACTTGAGTCAGTCGATGCTGTTGGCTTCATGCCGCTGCAGCAGATCCTGGGCTTCCTTTCGGTGAGCCTGGGCATCTACGTCTGCATCGGCCTGTAGCCGCAGTTTCTCTGCTGCTGCTGCCTCTTTAGCTTGTATGCGGGCAGCCTCGACTGCCAGCAAGCGTTGTTCCTCAGCCTTTATTTGAACCAGGCAACGCTGCTTGTAGGCGGCAATGGTCTCATTGGCCAGTTGGCCTGGCAGGCCCGTCATGTTGCTGACATGGCATTGCTGCTTACGTGGCACTGCTGATGTGGCATTGCGTTTGATGCGGTACTGCTGAGGTGGCACTGCTGATGTGGCAGTGTGTTGAACGTCACTGCTGATGTGGCACTGTGTCTGATGTGGCACTGCTTACGTTGCACTGTGTCTGACGTGGCAATGTGACCTGGCACTGCGGACGTGGCACTGCTGATCTGGCACTGCGGTTGTGGCACTGCTGATCTGGGACTGTGATGTGGCACTGCTGACGTGGTACTGTGACTTGGCACTGCTGACGTGGCACTGTACCGAAACGGGATGCATGCAAGGGGTGGGTGGGAGGGAAAACTGAGGGAGGTAACCAACCCAACAATGCTTTCCTCCGGCCCTAATCAAC